TTCAAGCTCTCTCTGGGTCTGAACAAGACGTATTTTTAATGGCCCAGCTGAAAGCGATGAATGGTGAAGAAATAACTGCCAGCCGGCGTCTTTAAAAAGAAAACGCGTACTAATAAGAGAACGTTTTAATATTGAGATCACAATACGCCCGAAACGTACATATCTCAATATGTTAGGAATTGGTCGCACTCACTTATTCCAAAACGTCAGAAATCACCTAGCGACGAATGGTATAATACAAAAAGAGGCCGCGATGGAAAACCAAGATAACCATTGATATAACCGTTGCTACAACCGTGAAGAATTTTCTTGAGAATTATGCTGAAATTCATGGACTACCAAGTCCTGGTAGAAACGTCAACCGAATTACCAGCCGATAAATCGGTTTATCGCAGGTCTCAAAAACGATAGCACGTTGGAATTGTTAAAATATGAAGCGTTCCGCAAGTTATGGCACCAATTAACGCCATATTCAAATCATGAGTCCAAGAACGGCTTTATGTGACGTGCCAACATGTTCAGAACGGCTTACAGTATAATGCTCGTAAGGAAAAAGCGAAAGATTTACTAAAAAAAAAAACATTTAGTTAAAGAGAAATTATTACAACAAAATACGAATTTAGCAGAACAACAGAGAAAATTGGTAGATAATAATTACGCTGTAACAAGAGGTAAAGCTGGTTATTGTAGCGTTAATGCTACTGCTCATTACAGTTACGATTGAGCACAAAACGTTCACGTACCCCATTCAGGTAAGCAAGATTTATTATTTTAGTCCGCGTAAAGTGCATTTATTCGGTATTCAAGACGAAGCGGTACGCGAACAAATTAATTACGTTCCCGATGAGAACGAAATAGGTCGAATTTCAGTGAAGCTCGAATAAAATCTCATTTTAATAAAATAAATAAGGACATTTATTCAATATTTCATTTGATCTTTCGCGTCCGAGTTAGAGAATCATCACATTTTAAACTTAATTAAAATCGTACCAGGCAGCTAACCTTTTATAACAATTTCTAGTTAGCCACATTACAAAAGGGCTTCACAGACGATGTCATATTGGCAGACTGCAACAAAACCAGACAAAGTGAACATTTGATCAAAAAAGCTTTGATTCTTTGATTTGTGGTTATTGGTTGAGGTAACTTTTTTTTTACTTTAGCGTTACTATACAATGACAATGTATTTTATATAGGGCTATCTCTGTATAAAAATATTAATATGAAACTAATTTACATCAAATCCATTATGAAACCTAAAAATATAGCACAATTAGAAAAAAGCTCAAGGAGAAAAAATAACCCCTTACGTTTTTAAAATAAATGACACCAAAATTCTCGAGGAATATCTAGGTTTTAAAAAAACCCCCACTTATAAAATTTATCAAGAACGAAAAATAATAAACCATTACCACCAACTTATTATTATGATGAACCAAGAAAAAGACGAATACACATGCAAACTCGATAAGTCGGTCATGCATGGTGGACCGAAAATTGAATCATCGAGAGACCGACTTATCGAGTTTGCATGTGTACTAAGCAAAGAATCTAAATAACTGTTTTTTTTTTTTATTAGGAGTATTATGAGCTACCATTTGATGAGTAGCAGGAGCAGTATCAAAGTTAAGGAGAGTTGGTCATCAAAATTTAGAAACAAAAATTACACTTTGCTCGCCAACCTTTGCTATTTCCAGAATCTATATTCTAATATCATATGATTTATTTATTGCTTTTCTAGTTTTAATAAATTAAATTCTGTATAAGTACCATTAGCAACCATCTGAGCTTTGACAACTCTAGGTCGAGCTGCTTCAAAAAGAGAATGTTTATATTTTTGCAAACCTTTAGTTTTTTAAAGAAAATCCCTGGAATTAAGATCCAAGTATTGAAACCTTTTCCATTGTCATAGCACTGAGCTTATTTAATCCGATCTTTTCACAACTTCGACAATATGATCCACACAGTCTGCTATTGTTTTTTCTATAGAGCTTTTTAATCAATCCAAAGCTACCATCGCATCGCACTTGAATTTAGTATGTCCAGGCACCATAAAATACTTTCGTAATAACCGCAAATTACTAAATACAAGTAAAATCAAATAGTAGCATTATTTTTATTCCGACCACCGACGTTATACAAGTAATCTTTAGATGTTACATGTTTATTAATACACTCATCTACCAAAAGTATGCAACATGCCTTGAAATTTACTAGTAAAACATATAAAAAATCTTTTCTTTCAAAAATCTTTATTGTACGTATTTACTGTGTACGTGTAAATTGCAATATATTCAGTCTCATTATCGTTCCGAAGCCACAGTTCGATGAAGTGGCTCAATCGATGTTACACGTATGAATACGTACAACAAAGATTAAGGCATGTCGTATACTTTTGGTAGGGGTCAGTGTATATTAATATGGCTACTCTAATAGAAAACGAGTACAAATTGAAAGATCCAAGATCGGGATCCTAACTATTTTCTGAGAATTCAATGTTTGCTAGTGGAAATTACATATGCTTATATGCAGTACATTTCTATCGTTCCACTAGCTACTGATCCAACATTATGAGAAGTACAGTGGCGACCATAAGTATCCGAACGCCCCCTAATTCGGGACATGATGGGCAGACGCTTTGAAAATTTTCGCGCATATATTGTATTGTATGACAAACCCTGATTATTTCAGCTCGATCGGATGTCTCCAGCAAATTTTCCAAACATATAAAAAACATGAAAACCATATCAAACTGCATATCGCTTTATTTCGAACATAAACTTCAAAAATCCATATCTCCACATGTTTCTAATCGATTTGCATGATCTTTTTTTGTTTTGTTTGTCAGATTTGTGTCACAGTAATTTGTTCAACAATTATATGAATGCATTCTGATGGTACAGAAGAACTAACGAAAAAAAAAAAAGGCTGGAAAAGTGTCAAGATATGAATTTTGAATTTTTATGGCCAAGTTGTGCATGGATATAAATGTCTCGAGGTAAAATATTTGGTGTTTGAAAAACCTTCTGGAGACATCCGATCGAGCTGGCGTGTTTTACAGATAATCAGGGTTTGTTATATACTATACGCAGGGAAATTTTCAAAACGTCTACTCATTCCTGTCCCATTCGGATACTTATGACACTACTGTATGTCAGCTGATTACCCCGACACAGATCATAAGTTGCGAATACACGAACCCTCATAAACAGAATTAGGAAACACTTTACTTTTATATGTGTGATAATGTTCAATTCATTATTAATTTAGAATAATAGACGCACCTTAAAATCCAGCATAAGACGCTCTACACTCCAAAACTTTAAGTCAGAACTGTTGGATGGTCATCAAGAAAAGCTTTAACAGGACAGCTTCCATGTCTGGAATCGTTGAAACTTCTGTTCACACTCCACAAGCATTGATTAAAATTGGGCACGTTCCAATTATCTATATAATTTTTGTATCAATTACAATGCATACATGAATATTATTCCTTCAGTTAATATTGAACATTGATACAACGCCAATTTGGAATGGAGCCAGCCCTTCATTGTAAAGACGGAATGTCAATTTTAATTAGTTAAAGATATTGATTTATAGAACGAATGCCCATATGAAATCGTCGCGTATAGAGTTGACCATAAATTCACGGAATATACAAAACTACAACAAGCGTGAGTCCGATAGAGGAGCCTAACTTGATATTTTTTGTACCATTTATCAAGTCTACCCTATGAAAATTTCTCTGAGGCTAAGTTTAAATCGTGCAGCCAAGGACCTCTAAATTCATAGCAAATTCTGTGAATTGCTTGTAGGCTCATCGCATATCTTAGGTTATTAATTTTTTGACGTTTCTTAATTCTTCGTGAATGAAAGTAACTAGTAATTGCATACCAGAGAAAACGAACATCCTTCTCTAACAGCATAATAGTTGCCACTTCTTTGTTTATATTAACCACACTTGTCATCTCCGGGCTCTGTTAATTTTTGCCCCACGTTCAATGTCTATCTAATAAGACATCGTTTTGAAATTTTCTAGTTGCGTTTTAATGATTCAAAACGCATGCTCAACAACAATCAATTCAGTACATAATACCAAGCTTATAAATATTATCGGCAAAAATACTACTGCTTCGTCACGCTTTACCATTTGCATTTAACTGGTAAAGATAATACTTTCAGCGTAAAGCTTGACAGACTGTTACAATACAAAGAATACAGAGAAACGTTGATTTGCGGAATTATCTTAAGCCTTGAAACTGAACTAAGAAGACAAGGACTAAACCTGTTTTTATTTGTGTCATTTGTTCATTATAGCTAAATCGTCGGATTGAGGGATTCAGTATAACAAGGCATTTGTATAACGGGGTCAGACCTCGAGTTTCAAGCATTGTATGTATAAATTGCTCCCAATACCCCATAAGCACTATTCATTATAATGAGATTCCAACAAATAATAATTTTTATTTCAATTTACGAAATTAAATAAATATAACAAAATAAGCTACTGTTGCAACATTGAGAATTGTGCATTGAAAGCACAGCCAATAATATATTGGCACAGGATAAAGCTTTGTTGTAAAGCATCAACAACGGTATAATGCTATTTACTGTTAGAATTCTAGAATTCGCTATTAAAAACTTTATTTCACTTCATTATTGTTTGCGTGATCTGATTGACAAGATGTAATCGGTTTTAAAATCTCCCGATTGTTAGTAGCTAAGAGATTACTTCTGTTGATTCTGTGCAATTATTAACTATGACGAAACGTCTCCAGTTTCCTTGAAAGGTTTCGACCAGTTGGAGCAGTTTGGTAAAATTGGAACAACAATCTAATGTTGCCCTTTCCTGGAACTCGGAAAAATCAATTACTTACTATGCGTCTTTCGATCGATCAGAATACTTTATTTGTTTGTTACATTCTTGATTTATCTCTAACGTTTAAATCATCTTTATATACACATGTTGCAGATGATTACAGATAGGCCCGAATATCGATCTAACGACAAACGGCCTCATCTCCACCTTCGACTAACCTAAGAACCATTTTAACTATGAAATTTGGTAAATTGGTCAGCTTCACGCCATCATCGTTATCGTCAGTTGCTCCAACATCCAGTAACTTAATTTCTTCAATAGAATTAAGTTTCATTTCTGTGGGGTCACTTTTCATAAATTTATCTACGTCTACTTTAATAGAAATTTCATCCGGTACGCTCTTGCGCCAATCGTCAGGTAGTCCTGGAAGCCACTTTTGCGACTTGCAAAGGGGATGCCGCGAGTATGGACCGCCATTCTTGGAAGTTGAGGCACGTAGCTTACAGACAAAACGTGTACGACATTCTTCTGCGTTTTCGTAGAAATGGCAGAAGGGATATTGCTGGGTTGAATGCATTCGGGATGCGTGAGTCCTAAACGTATCGTAAAGGTTGTCGTCTGATAGGAAACGTTCGCTCAAATCTGCGTTAATAGAAACATAGTTAGCAATTGAATGGTACAACATATTGAAACAATGACATACATCCTCGTGCTAGTACACAGATATACGCTTACCGTGCCAGCTTTGTGGACTCAAATCTGCCATTGAATAAGCGGTCTTCGCGTCGTACAACAATTTCCACGTTGGCTTATCTAGTCTGTTTGCTTCCTCAACGTCCAAATAGTAAGTATAATGATTCATTATCTCCTTGGTCTTTTTGTTTATTTCATAAAGTCTAAATGCTGGATTCATATTCTTGAAAGTCGTCACACTGGGTGCAACGTATGCGACACCGGTCGCGGGCGGCACCCTTTGCTTGCCATCTTCAGTTTCGTAATAACTGCCATCATACATCAAATTATATTCATCCCAGTGTGCATGTCCTATCATTTAAACAGAATGATAGATGAGTTATGGAGCTTGCATTTTATCAGTTACATGCAAGATAAAGACAACTATGCAAATGAAAGAAGTACGGTTTGAGAACAAAAAAATTGTTCCAATTTCAAGTCATTTACCGTAGAACTGTCCAGCGATCGTATTGTTGAACCTGCTGACGATTTGTGACCAGTAAATAGAATACATAGGGAAGGCGTCCAGATCAGATGGAGACATGTGCTGAAAAAGTCAAAGTTTCCGTAATCAGATACACATTTGATATTAGAATGTGGCGAGTGAGTAAGAGTGGAAGGGAGATCTGATATACATGTCAAACATGATAAGGCTTCAACCAACTGAACTTACACCTAATATCCAAACTTTCTCTCCTAGAGCCTCGGCATCAGTCAGCTCTCCGACCACTTTAGTTAACTGCCATTCGGGATCCCATTCTTCAAGTGGCTTAATTATCATCCACCAGTTAAGCTTATACCAAAAATTGGTATTCAATCCAATCAGCCTCAAGTTATCTTTTGGTAATCTAACCGAATAAAATCCGGTTTCGCGAATGCTGTTTTCGACGTCTTTGTTTAGCCAGAGACCCCACTGATCAGCCAATATATTGTATAACCATGAGATTGAGGAAACTGTCATAGACGACGTTGGGAACGAATTCACTGGGGCTGCTTCGTGATTGCCGATTACTGGAAAGAATGGGGCTTTGGAAAGGAATTTTTTCCAGACAGAGAATGTATCGACCGTTGTGTTTTTAATTGAGCTGGGTGTTTCAGCCCACACGTCTGTCAAAGAACAGAAAGTGTATTAGAAATTTAAGCGAAACAACAACAGCACCTATTATTTTGTAGTCATGTGAAACATACCGTGTGGAGGAAGGTCGCTGATTATTAATGGTAATGAATAGTAATAATTAGGGATAATGTTGCTATCGGTAAGAATCGATTTTGCAATTCAAATAATAATTACCCGGTGGAGAATATATAATCAATCTTGGGCACAATCGATGGCAAGGATTCCAACAAGTTCTCAATCAATATCTTTGGCACATCTAGCATAAAGGGGCAATTATGATCATCGTCTCTAGACAAATGCTGACATTATTTCAATTACGTCTCTAATATATTTATATCAACGTACCGCAACGATAATCTCCCCACTTTCCAGCTGGGTGCTTAGCATGATGATCAAACCTATTTGGCGGACGGCAACAAACTGGTTCTCCACATTCTGAGTCATATCCCTCAGTATACTCTGGGTCGTAATGCCAGTCGCTTAAATGCACAACCCATAACCGGTCATCATCTTCTTTCTTTGTCAAGTGCTTAGCATCAAATAGGACGTTTGGTTTTGATCTTGGTATATTTTGTTGACTTGTCGACCTATCTGGAAGTGGTACGGCGTCTGGGGTGTCGGGTTTATCGGCTGGCTGGCAGAAGTGAGCTTTGGCACACATATTCTCTGGTAAGAACACCGAATTGGCCAACACAGTAATAACCCATGGGGTAAATTTAGGTATGAGCTCTTTGCACTAACGATTAATGAAGAAATAATTAATTATCCGGTGGAGTAACTCATCTAACAACAAGTTAATTTCATATCGCTATTTACCACTCGTAATTTCTCAAAGCCAACACATATTGGTGTGGCAATTTTCATTATTGCGGCCTCGGTAATATTTTTTTGTAGTCCGTCGTGTACAAATTGCGCTAATTTCTTACATATTGAACATCCAAGTCCGGCAGTCTGATGTTTACACCAATTAACATATGTCATTATCATTGATGAATGCGGTCGAGATAACAATCTGTCTCCAGTAATCAACAAACCTCCAACTCTGATCCAGAAACAGCAGTAATACTAATGTTTGGCAATATCTCGTCGTAGTACGCCTGTTGCAAACTAATTGGAGTGTTTATTTCTAGAGGGGGTTGTCGTCCCTGTGAGTGTCCGGACAGCTCAAAGAATCTATAAGCGAATATCTGCGCCGGCCCCCATAAACTTAAGAGCCGTGGGCCATTCAAAAAAATGACCAAATAGGACGTAGCGAAGACAAGGAAACATATTGCTAATAATTTGAAAGCGGCACCCATCAGAATGGAATTTTAAGGGCTGAAGAATCAAGTTGAACGGTGAATTGGCTTTTAATATTCCGATTCGGATGTGAATGCAAAATGTACTCCATAAGGAATAGGCCGTTAAGGGGGCGCTGTCGCAAATAATGCTCGAAATTTCAATTAATATTTAACGGTAGTGACTCTAAAGAGCTCCTTCCAATAAGCAGCAGAAGACTGCTAAGAATGTCACCCAAGAAATTATTAATATTGTAGTAGTAGTTGTTGTAGTTGTAGTTGTTATTATTATTATCATTATTATCATTATTATTATTATTGTGATTATGCGGGTACTAGTTAATAATCATAATACTAATGCTGATACTAAACTGGTTTCCCACACCCGAAATTAGTATATTGGTGTGTGGATCAATTATAGTCGTAAAACATATTAATAATATTAATATACTACCCCGTATATTAATATACTCTAAAAATAATGACATCATTGTTACAGTGTACGACTTTACACCATATTATAAAGCTGCAAATATAGTATTATTATTATAAGAAGAACGTATTTCAACCATCACTGTTCTTTTCGGCTTCTTGTTGCTTCCTTTAGTATATTCGGACAATACAGATTTTTCTAGCTCTGCACAATTTACCAATACTAATACGTTACAGATAATAATAATCGCGTGGTAAATTGTAATAATCTATGCGTCGTGATAACGTGTTGTTTGGCCGTTATGCTGACTTCAACCAAGCGCTTACTAAGATATCTATTATGCAGTAGTAGCCGATGGCGCACCAAATACATCAAGTACCAACCATTTATAATTATTACACAACCTCAATCCACATCCATCCAACTGAAGGTTTAGTTGTCTTATAAGAAGCTGTGAAGCTAACAGTTTCTTTAAGAAATACACACACCAAAACTTTTAACTTTGTTATTTTCAATAGCAATTGTTCGGTGTATTTGGGTGATAGCTCTACCATCGTTTCTTTAGGTATACATTCGAAATTTTTTCTTTGATTCCATGTCAACTCATACTGGTAGATCCAAAATCAGTCTTCTGAAACAGCTACATGTTATTTTATTATTTTTCATCTTTGGGACCACAGCCAAAATACGAGCTTGAGCTTTCATATCCTCTGCGCTAAGATTATCTCGCAAAACACGCTGAGCCATTTCTCTGGCTAGGTATCAGTATGCTTATCTGTTCATCACTAAATCTGAACCCATCCCGAAGGCGTCTCTTTCTGTCATCCGCAAGTTTGTTAAACAACTCAGAAGTATACTGACTGAGCTCATCTTGTTGCAATAGCTGACATGGTAATATTTTATACCGATTCTAGGTTATACCACTTTGTTGGGTTGTATACTATGAAAAATATTCTTTCAATTCGAAAATAATTATAACACATTCAGTCGGATTTTCTGCAATTATGCTATTCTTAACTTTGAATAGAAAATCGTTTATAACGCCACAATATTTTACTAATATTATTATGTGTATTTCATTACCAGTATATTGATCATACAATCGCGTTTCGGTCACGGTTTTTTCACGACTATATATTTTTCTTGGCAAAAGTGATCGGTGATCTTCGAACGGAGCGTAGCGCCTCCTACTAATAGCTTAACCAAACTGACAGTTGGTGACTTGTTGTTTAGTCTTTAACGCTGACGGTACTTCCGTTTGCCGGATCACGTCACCAATCAACTGCTCTCGAGATATATTGAACGACTACTGCCGATGATTAATTCGACAGTCTGTCCGTCTGGGGTATACCGCAATTTAACGTGTTATTCTCACAATTAATTATCGTAATTCGCTGCTCAGATAATTGCAGGACAAGAAGCGATTATCCTTCTCCGATATAGGGATTAGCGGTTCTACCAATATCGAATAATTCAGGGAAATACGTAAATAGCTTATGATCAGGGTAAATGCGATACTCGTTTATTAATAAACAAAGGAATCAGAATATTTATCTTGATCTTCACACTAATTGAGACTTCGAAATACACCGAAACTAGCCGACTCCTACACTACTTTTATATCTTTTCGAGCTACTAATTGGTCTATTTTTAGCAACGTATTTTCTAAGCTAAATTATTGACCTGTTCATTTTTCCACTAAGTAATCGCCAACTGTCGAAAATTTTACTAATAAATTGTACGACATAACCCGATCGGCGTAGCCCCGTGCATTATTCCATATTGCGCTCCCTCATTTATCTTGCGCGTGTAATGCTTTACGTTTAATTGTACAAAAACGCGGATAATGTATTGTACAAACAGTATTTAAAAATTGTACAAAAAACCCGAACAATAATACTTCCTTTTCGAACATATTCATTGCCAAACTCTTTCACTTGGATTGATTAAGAATTCTCTTTTCTCATTGATCCGTATCTGTTTTCGTTCAATGTCGACTTGTAGAAATTTTTTACCAAGAATATTGTTAATGAATGGCTTTCGCCGTTAGCTTTTCAACTCGATTCTCAGTCCATGGTAGAATAAAATCAATTATTATTTCCGTTTTTATTTTAGTGGCAGGTATATCTTGTGGACTCCAAATAAATAAGATAATTACGCTTAGTGCATCGGGATGTTCCAGAACTTTACCTAAACGCTTAAAATATTATTATTACCCTTATAGCGAGAAGATACATCAAAAAATACAATACGTCGATCGTCTATTTTTATTTGTAGTGGGGCATCATGATTACTTAATACCCAAAGTCCGACATAATCTTTTATAACTTTAGGTTGTTAGATAATCTTCAGTAATAAGTGATCACTACTTCCATCACTGCTTCCATCATTGCATCGTCATTGCATCACTGCTTGCATCACCGCTTCCATCCATCCCTCAAACCAAAAGACGCGTAAAATTTTTATCTTTTGTCACTCTACAGACACACTTAAAGTAAGGTTATTATTATATCACTGGGAAACTTCTACCGCAGGTTGTCTATTTGATTAAAGACTCACCTTTTCATATTTATTTGTCACACATTTCAAGGTCTATATTAGGAAATGTATGCTTCAGACAATACAACTATTATCAGAACAAGAAAACTTTCAAAACACAGACATGAAAACCTCCACCGAGTTCTCAGTATCTTCCTCCGCATACAAAAAAAGGCTTGGAATAACCCCTGATGTTGTAGAGTTAGCAAAGAAATCCTTGCTCGAATCAGCAAAAATGGAGGAAAAACGCAAACCTGAATCTAGTGAAGTCATTGTTAAAGAAGACGTGTCGCTTGATGACTTTCTGGATTACCGCAAAAGCGACTTGAGGCTTCCGGTCCGCCTATATCTTCGTGATGGGAAAATCATAATCAATGAAATACCTACAGTAATTCACGCAACAGTATCAGCATTGTTCAAGGTATTTATGGGTAGGTGGAACTATCGGGATTTGCGGTATGGTGACGATACGACCATGATTCTGAACCAAAACAATGTGAAAGAGCCTGATTCATGGGTCCGACCAGTACGGCGTCCTCGGCCTCCACTCACACAGGCAATGGATAGATTAGGAACACCATACCCAACAATGATAGTTGAAGTCGGCCATGCACAGAGTCTTCCTGACCTGCATTGGAAGGTAGAACTTTACTTTGATGTTCGAACCACAATTCAGATTGTGCTGACTATCAAGATATATGAACCTCGTGTGGATCATACTGCTGCGATGATCGCTGCCCTGTACCTATTCCAGTCGACGTCAGGTCTTTTGGGACGTCAGGGCCTGCAAATGTTTCTAAGTACTATGTCTACAATGAAATGGGGGTTCCTCATCATATTTTCACGGGTGTTGGACTCTCTGATATCAATAATAATCCTTTCCCTCCTTGTACAATGGCTGGTATTCCAGCTTACCAAATGAATATTCCTGCGACAGAACTCTTTGATGGAGATCCTGCTGGTGTTCCTGCATCAGCGATTGGTGGATTCAACTTAGACTTGTGGGAATTTCAAGTTGTAATACGGGAATCATTCAACATAGCCTAATATAATTCGTTGACAGTGTAGTAATTATGTTTAAGCAAAGGGTATAATATAAAGTATAAAATAGCAATTACCAAGATTCGTCAAGATGCATTATTGCTTTTCGGATTCAAGTCTCGGGATAAGGAGTCACCCGATCTTAATGCTACTATATTTATTAATGCATTGGTAGGAAATTGGTGCGGTTATACTATTAAAAGTGAACGAAAACTTTCAGGTTCGAAAGATCAACGTATATGGAAACGTAGTTATTGAATTGGATCGATCGCTAACCATATAATGGAGCTGATTTTAATACACGAAACGCATTTTCTCCAAAAGACTCTTTCCTAAAAAACTGGCACCTACTAGCACCTACACTTCCGTAATATAAATTACTGATGATAACCCAAAATTTATTATCAATCTTAAATAATGTATGCAATATTCAAATCGGAGTTTGTTGTGTCTCACGCACTTCGTACGCGCGCTTCACGCGTAATTTTAACTGATATAATATACGAGGTAATATGCTAAATAAACAGGTAACAAGTATAAAAGAAATTTAATATACTATGCACAAGTATAACGCTTCATATGAGAATGGGAAAAGTGACACCCCAAGGTATTATTATAGAATATATATATTATAAGATTATAACTTTGGGGTATCAACAAATAAGGAATAGCAATGTATTCTTCTTAATCAGTCTAACACAGGACGCTTAAGCTCAAGTACTTCCCTGTAGACTAGCACCAAACATCTAACGCAAGACATAATGGAGGATCACACTTGACTTGTACATGTAAGTATACAGGGAGCTTGCACGAGAACGTCAATAAATTAGACTAACCTTGTAGTTATAATGCAACCCCCTTTTTTTACAATAAATTCTACGCTACGCGACTCTGTATTACCGAAACTTGTTTTGTTTCGGATTTTCAGTAAATTTCCCCTATACATATGTTAATGTATAGTATAATGAAACCAAATAATTAAAATTTTCTTTGACATTTTTGTAGGTATAATAATATATCATCAAGATGGCAGGAGACGATTTGACGGACAAAGGCTTTAATTTTTATTAATATTAATAAGAATCGATAATCTCTTCCTCGGAAATTGTCTAACTGTGAATTGCTTTAACTTTATCGTTGCAATACATTCAGAAAGTCTACATTTAAATCTTTATTTATCACTGATTCCCTTGCTATTACAAAAATAATCTCATCTATTTAGCATTAGGGCTTGGTTTATTTTCACCTGAGGAAAAGCGCACATAACGTGATTTGATATCTTTAACCCAATTATAATTAAGCAGCTAGGAAAGATGATCGATAGTAAAAATTTTGTGTGCCAGTTGATTGGCTACACATTCGAAATTTTCAGCTTCGAGATCGAAGCTTCCTTGGAATGTTTGCACGGTTATCCGTCAGCTACTCGCGGAATTTAGCATTCCGAAACGAAACTTCGTTTAAAATCTTAAGAGTTACTAGCTATGCTTCGTTGCGCGCTTACACACAAGGTTATCACGGCTCGAGGTCAGAAGTTATCGCTCCAGTTGCCACAAAACCTTCAGCTAGACTCGCGATCATAGGAAGTGGACCAGCTGGATTCTACACTGCTTATCGTGTCATGAAAGACTACCCGTTCGCTTTGATAGACATGTACGAGGCGCTTCCCATACCATTTGGTCTTGTCAGATATGG